CATATTTGTTGGGAAAGATGTACCTGGTATTTTACAAGCAAAAATTCAATCCCGGCACGTGTCATCGAAATGCCACTACCTTTGGATCCAATATGATGCTTCGGATGCAGAAGACCCCGTGAAATTATGGTATTGCCAGTGCAGGTCAGGGGCTAGATTGGTGGGGAGTTGTGCTCACGTAGCGTCTGTTCTCTGGTTTATAGGGATGCAGAGATGTAAAGAGTCTACTGTACCTAGTTTGATGCCAAGTAACATACTGGACTGTGATTCTACTAGTAAATAATTTAACACCCCTCCCCCAAGCCTTCAATAGCTGAATTATATCTTGAAAGCCCTTAAATGTTAAAAATAGAAGTAAAGAAATTCTAAAGTGGATTCCATGTTTACAACTATTTATAACACACTCTACAGCCACGCAGCATCGTTTTTGAAAGTGGGAGGGGCCGGGGCAGCCTGAGAAAATTTTGTTTTACTTACCTGAAAAAGTTGACAAGCAAAAAAAAAATAAATAAATAAATAAAAGGGGGGATTCCGAAAGTCGAAAATCCTATTTCGCGGGGAAGGGGGGGGGTTAGAGGCCAAGTTTTTTTTTTCATGCCAAATTCTTTCAGTACCAAATTTTATACCACAATTTTCCTTATATCACAAAAAGTTGGGGGCAACCAACCTTTCAGTGAAACATTTCCTATATAGCCCCCCCCCCCCCTGATGCTACGTGCCTAATACCAAATTCAGCGCCTGCTCACTCACCACCCACAAATGAATATAGACAATGTTACTACACTCCCTTCCAAAAAAACAAACTTCGAGACGAGGGGATAAAAGAATCGCATGCAAAATCTTAAAAAAAAAGTATATCAAGTTAACCTTTTCTGTTCGATCCAACCTACATTTTTCATATTTCTGTTATGATTATTAAAATAATAATAAAAAAAACCTCAGGGATATCAAGTATTCCTCGGTCAAATGTGAAAAAATCAGGACCCCCCCCCCAACAAGTACACAAATTGCAAAATTATCATTCTAGGACTTAAAATTGCAACATTCAGGATTTGTAGGATTTAATTACAATAATTATAAATAACTAGAGGTACTGTGAGCAATGAGCTCACTAAATGATACCCCCCGCCTCCCATATGAATATAATGGCAGTGTCCAAGTTTTGCTCTGGAAAATCCAAAATATATGTCAGATCAAAAAGTAAAATAGGAGGTGCACAATGGCAATATGTAATGAAGATTCTGTGAAAGTTTCATTAAATTTCCTTCAGTGGTATGAGAGGAGTTGCGGATAAGAGATAGGTACCCCAAAGCGTAACAGACGGACGGACGGACGGAATTAACGATTACTATATACCCTCCCGCTTTTCAAGCGGGGGGTATAATAATTACGCATGTCGGGGAATATCATAAACCAATCATTGGTTAGGCCACAATTAAAATATTGTTGGTTTGGCGTTAATACGTTTGGGTCGGTAGGTAGGGGAAATATTTTTTTTTTTCAATTACAGGAATGTTTTTAGTTTTCAGGCATCATGGGTTTCCGATTGTTTAACAACAACTTCAAGTTGTTATTTATTTTCAAACCCTATTAGTTTTAAACCTTTAATATACATGGTATAAAAAATCCCAGATATTGAATTGGCATAAAGTTGTTTTCACATGCACGAATCCGAGCATGGCCGCTAGATTCATCTACAAATGTAGCAAATCGGACAGGAAAATTGTACCTTGAAATATCTCATTCAAACTGGTATAACTGATTCGTCGGTATATATTGCCACGACACACATTACTGGGGAGAGTCATGCCATCAACTTCTGTTATACAGAGTTTACTGCTTTCGACAGCCATGCTTGGATTTGTGATATGTGTATTTAACATCACATAGACACTTTTAATTGAAACTGTTTGATCAATCAAGCGTTTACATGATTCTTTCCCATTTTGTGATATGTACTCAAATGTACAGACACCTAAATCCGGATATATATACAGAATGAAAAAAAAAATTACGATCTGTATCAGTTGGAAAAATTCTTCTGACCACAGCGATTTACCTGAGTCAGCCGGCAATGCCAAACAAAGCTAATTTTATTTTCAATTCTGATATTTTTTTTTCACATTCCCTTCAGAATTTCGCTATCTTTTTTAAATCATTATTTCAGAGTTACATGTATTTTCAAAAGAGGGCATAAAAAACATACATGTATTTTCTTTTTAGTCACAAAATGGAATAAAGTGCAAACTTAGTCGTTTCTATTGTTGACAAACCGCCTTCAAAACATTCAAGATATAGTCGTTTCAAAGAAATTTTGATGAGTAGAGGCAAAAAAGTTTACGGACGTTGCCGACGGCAATCATTATGTGACTTAAAAGATATTTTCTGTTGTACGTATTGAAACCAACTTATTAAAATTTAGATAATAATAATGATATATGCATTTCACCACTTTACTGATATTCATAGAATTGTGAAATTCACTTCAGGTATTCTAATTATTTAGTTCTTGCAAGTAATACTTTACCTTGTAAACTTAATGCATGTTAAAAAAAATACAAAATACTAATGTTCGAACTACATTTTCAACAAAAGTTTTCCGCGTTCAACTAAAATCTCTGTCAATTTATAAAACACAACGACATGCATGTGTATTTCATCAGAAGGGTAAGTAGCAATGCCGTGCGTAATTGGCATTTTGGGGTCGAATATATGATTATTTCTACAATAGATATACAAATAATATGCATAATTTAATCAAACGAATCATTCCTATTTTAAAGTTAGTGATATTTTATTATTGGTTTAAAAAGAAAAAGAGACTCCGAGAAAGAGAGACAGAGAGAATAAGCCATGGAATGCCAATATCCATGTGACACAAATCGATATAAAAATATTATATTATCCTATAAATATTGATTAGGTGACCTAAAAACCATTCCGGGTAAATGCCAAATTCCGGATGGCAACGCTTATGTATAGTTCCTTCAATTTTGATTTGCGACACGAAGGTATTGCTTATGTAAAAGTTTTATGCATAATACAATCATGCATACATAAATCTTCACAATGCTTATGAAATATCTTTGATTCATCTCAACAACAGCTAGATATAGGAATCTCAAAAAGATCCAAAATGCGACGTTAAGTCCACCCATTCTTTAATGAATTTTAACGAGGCTTCATAGAATTTAATGAGTCTTTCACAGAATCTTTGTTAATTAATGCCACATACACCTTCTATTTTATTTTTTGATCTGGCACATAATTAGGGCTCCCTTAGCATTACATGGACACTGCCATTCTTTATAATATTGAAGGGTATATTCATCTCTTATCCGCAATTCCTCCATTCCACTGAACAAGGATTTAATGATATAAGACAGAGAGTTTTAATCACATTACATCTATAATTAAAAGATATTTCAGCAAAGCGGGTTCAAATCCCACCTTGGGATGCAGAGACCGGTCCTTCGGATGAAACCGTATAAACCGAGGTCCCGTGTCGCAGTATGTGCTGGCACGAAAAAGATCCCTCACTGCTCAATGGCCGTAAGTGCCGAGTATATGACAAAATTTGCAGCTCTCCACCGGCAGGTGGTGGCATGTCAATTTGCATGCAAAATTCTCGAGATGGACGTTAAACAACATACAAACAATTAAACATTTCAGTAAATATAACTTGAATATTTCATTTAGTCAGAAACCAGACAAGAATTCCTCCTTCACGCACAGAAATGAATTGCAAATAATTTTTCATATTCATCAACAATTTATTGAAAGCAACATGTAGAATGTTTTCAAAAATGACAACTTGTATATAAATTACAAAAAATGTATAAAGGAATGTATAAATAATAGCTCAAATATAATCACATATTTATCATCACCGTAATTTATAAATATAATAATCAATGTATACTTGTAATACAATAACTTTAATTTACTATAAGTGAAAGGTTTATTGTATAAAAAGTAAGGTATCATCAACAGTCCGCTTCATTTTCGGACTCATCCTGTGGAAATATTTTAGTGACAAGATTCCTCCACGCTTCTCCGTTTGGATTATAAAGTTTTTCTTCGTTTTCTTTGGCGATTTCTTTTAACTTTTCTTGAAGTTTTGATTTGTGTACTTTCAAAGGCTGATTGGATTTATATATTTTGGGTTTTACTGGCTTTGGAAGCCGTTTACTAAGAGGAATATAGGGCTTCTTCTTAGTGCGTTTACGCCGAATTTTCTTTGGCACATCAGATTCATCTGAATGGTCTCTTCCAGCAGTTCCGTCCGACTTGCCGGACACGGAAGAAGAGGCATTGTTACTCATTCCGGGCGAAGCCTCGGACCCAGTCCGAGAAATGTAAGAGGAAGCAGACCTGTTTCTGGATGTCGCACTCGATCTTGGAGATCCGACAGCGGATGACGTTCTTTCCACTTCATCAGCCTGTGCAGATGTCGACGGTCGGTCTACAGCTTCCTCTGATGGTGACGTGAGATGGCCTTGTTTTTCTATTAAATGCTTGTCTGAAATACCAGTTGAATCCCTATTTAAGGGAGGCGATATTTTGTCGTAGCTCGGAGGCCGCTCTGAAGGAATTTTGGCCGGATGACAAAATTCGTTGAGGTAGGCTAAGTTGTCCTGAGTTGGTAACATCTTCTCTTTTTCTCTTCTGGCCTTTCGTATGTGAGGAAGAGTATCCTCCCTTGTCCACATGTGTGCACTCGGTGGGACGCCTCTTGTCGCCATTACGAAGGAAGGAATTTCAAATTTATAGTCCCCACTGTGGTAGTCCCCGTCGTCATCTTCAATCGAGAGGTCCTCCGAACTGTGGTAGTTTCCTGTTTCAGATTCATCCAAATTCGGATCTTTATGGGTTACTCTTCGTTTTCTGTGGAATCTAAATTAAAAACGAAATTTGAAAACATTTATATTAAAAAAAAAATACAACAAAAAGACAATATGCTGTTACTGATATGGAATATCTCTGCTTACCTTTTATAGGCAAGGATGAAGCAGATGGAACAAAGGACCATAAATAACAGACCAAGGGCTGTGACGACTCCAATGATGATAACTGAAATATATTTAACAGAGATGAATTATGAATTGAATGAACGAAGTATGATATTATTTCAAGTAAGTTTAAAGATAATTTTAGTTGTACTCACGAGCTGTTGAAGATGATACATCAGGGGATTCCTCTGTCTTTTTTACTACAATGTTCAATATTACGTATTGTTATTTAAAAAGACTACATGCATACATTACTTAAGGAATGACTCTAATTCTTGGCCAGATTATCGAGTATAATATGGTTTGGGTCAGTTTACGCTTTATAATCCGCGAAGCGGATTATAAAAAAAGCGTAAACTGACCCAAACCATATTATACTGATAATTGGCCAAGAATGATCATTCCTTATAATTTAATTTTAAAATAATTAAACAACTGGGGATGTAAAATTGTGTTGTTTTTATTAGTTCAAATTTACCGCGCAATAATACAACCATAGTGACGGAAGTGATGGGAAGCAAGGGGAGGTAAAAACTGATACATAGATCTAGCAGCCATGATGCTTGTTTACATGAGGTAAGATCGAGCAACTGTTTGAAGTTAAAGGTACATTCATTAAATCTGGAATTTTTCATGAATCCGAAGGACTGGAAATGAGGGGATTGATGGATACAGATGATTCAGCTTGTTGTCAAGGGGGTGTGTCCCCATACCAAACCAGATTATACAAAATGTTATGCGTTCCTTTTTTAAGAATACAAACAGAATTAAATTATATATTCTTATCATTTTAAATTTACCATCAGCATAATACTTACAATAAACGACAATGGATCCTGGTATTATGTTTAATGATAAAGATTTGTGCAGCGTTGAGTTGACGAGAGATACTAAGTTGTTGTTACTTCCGGTCACGTGAACATGGGATATGGAATAATATACTTCACATAGGACGTGAATGCTTCCATTTCTGTAACATGCATATTGATCGTTAAATACATTGTTAATTAAATTCAATAAAAAATAAATTCAATTTAAAATTATGATATCTTTTATTAAATTAACTAATTTGAATTAAATACAGTACATGTTTAAAATAAAAAGATGTAAACTCGCTAGCTGAGCATCAATATGTATAGCACACTACATAATACAGTATAAGAAACAAAGGTTGAAACTTTTAAATCAACAAAAAGCAAAGTAAGAGTCGAAAACAGCTGGTCAAGAAATGTTTTGAATTTAAACAGATCAAGCTCTTATGTGCTATATTAAACGTAAAGCTGAATTGAATGATAACATATCATCTTCAATTTTTTTTTACTACTTACACTTCAATCATTGTTTTCTTATAAAAACAAAATATATTATATGTATTTTATTCTTGTTTTTAACAAATTTTGTCTATTCACATGTATATAATGTAGGAACACAATGAAAACCATTCTAAGGTCTAACAGTGCCGTGTGAAAAAATATGATGTGTGACACTTTCCTTCTATCTTTTGTCTTGATTTCTGTTGTTTGTAATCTTTTTAAAATATTGCTATAATAAAAAAAATCTACCAAACCTCTCTGTAAGACTCCATAACCCTACAAATGACTATTTATGTGTAACTATATCTTGATATCTTTACGTATTTTTAATTTTATTGTCTTTGATTAATGGTTTTTCTATTTCTAAAAATACGCGGACAAAAGAGGATATATAATACGATTTGTATAGTGATTTTGATGAATTGTGACGCTAATACATACAACAGTGCAATTTAGCTCCTAATCTAATAATTTGTCTTACCTTTCATTGCTATTATAAAAATATTGTTAATATTTTTATAAACAAATATGACAATTAACCCAAGATGGTTTGTTTTTCCAAATATTTTTTACATTTAAAGAAAAACACTTAACTTGGATCAAAACCAAAACAACCAGAATAAAAATAATCCCCTTACCTGTACGATATAACTTTACTGGAGTTGTAGTAGATAGATACATTGCTTCCACTACCAAGGACATTGTTAATCTACAAGATAATTTAAACGTTTAATTACTGTATTAAATTTCTGCTAGGCGTTCTATATACTTTCTTAAAGAAAAGGGAAAAAATTCAAAATTGAGACTAAATACCTCTGATTCAATTTTGGCAGATTTATTCTTGAAAGCTGTGGAACTGCTATTTGACAAATCTGCATTCCAGTTTTCGTTCAAATCTATCTCAACATACAGTACAACAACGCTTGGGTCTACAAAAATTTCAGTGGATGTCTGCACAGCTTGGGTTGTTGATAAACTTGTCGGGATTGATGCAGTAGAAGACGTTGAGACGGTTACATCTGATGTTCCTTTCGTTGAAGTTGATGCTTCAGTTTGACTTGTTTCCAATGTACTAGCTAAAGAACTTGGTTTTCTTGCTGTAGATTCCGTACTAGCTGTTGAACCTGGTGTTGTTGCTGTTATATCCGTACTAGGTATTGAAGTTGATGTTGTTGCTGTAGATTCCGTACTAGGTATAGAAGTTGATGTTGTTGCAGTGGACTCTGTAATAGGTATTGAAGTTGATGTTGTTACTGTAGATTCAGTACTAGGTATTGAAGTTAATGTTGTTGCAGTCGACTCTATACTAGGTATTGAAGTTGATGTTGATACTGTAGATTCTGTACTAGGTATTGATGTTGATGTTGTTGCTGTTTTGTCCGTACTATTTATTGAAGTTGCTGCTGTTGCAGTGGACTCTGTACTAGGTATTGAAGTTGATGTTGTTGCTGTTGATTCAGTACTAGGTATTGAAGTTGATGTTGTTACTGTAGATTCAGTACTAGGTATTGAAGTTGATGTTGTTGCAGTGGACTCTGTACTAGGTATTGAAGTTAATGTTGTTGCTGTAGATGTTGTTACTATAGATTCAGTACTAGGTATTGATGTTGATGTTGTTGCAGTGGACTCTGTACTAGGTATTGAAGTTGATGTTGTTGCTGTAAATTCCATACTAGGTATTGAAGTTGATGTTGTTGCTGTAGATTCTGTAGTAGGTATAGAAGTTGATATTGTTGCAGTGGACTCTGTACTAGTTATTGAAGTTGATGTTGTTGCTATGGACTCTGTACTTGGCATTGAAGTTGATGTTGTTACTGTAGATTCTGTACTAGGTATTGATGTTGATGTTGTTGCTGTGGATTCCGTACTATGTATTGAAGTTGCTGCTGTTGCAGTGGACTCTGTACTAGGTATTGAAGTTGATGTTGTTGCTGTAGATTCCGTACTAGGTATTGAAGTTGATGTTGTTACTGTAAATTCCGTGCTAACTGATGAACTTGATGTTGTTACTGTAGATCCCGTGCTAGCTCTTGAACCTGATGATGTTGCTGTTATCTCCGTACTAGGTATTGAAGTTGATGTTGTTGCTGTAGACACTGTACTAGGTATTGAACTTGATTTTGTTGTTGTAAACTCTGTACTAGCTATTGAACTTGATGTTGTTGCTGTAGACTTTGTACTAGCTATTGAAATTGATGTTGTTGCTTTTCTCACAGAAGTTTCAAATGTTGTACTTGTAAGTGGCGTTGTTGTTGTATCTTCAGATGTCGCTGTGCTTGTTTCCAAGCTTGAAATAGAGGATGAGGCACTTGTACTTTCCTCACTAGCAGAAGTAGTTGAAAATGTGGAGAATTCCTCAGATGTTGTAGAATAGGTAACTGACCCTGTGGTAGTATGAGTCTCACTTGTACTCTCTGTTGAGGTTGCAGAAGAGGAAGTCTCAAAACTTGTAGTTTCAACAGGGGTAGTCGGAGTGGTACTTTCCTCACTTACTCTTTCAGTGGAACTGATTTCTAGAGTAGTCGAAAAAGTTGGTGACGTTTCTACAGATATTGTGGCACCCTCAGTGCTACTGGAATACTCTGTTGTCACAGGTGTTGTTGAACTCATCATTCCGGAAGTTTCAAATGTTGTACTTGTAAGTGGCGTTGTTGTATCTTCAGATGTCGCCGTGCTTGTTTCCAAGCTTGATACAGAGGATGAGGCACTTGTACTTTCCTCACTAGCAGAAGTAGTTGAAAATGTGGAGAATTCCTCAGATGTTGTAGAATAGGTACCTGCTCCTGTGGTAGTATGAGTCTCACTTGTACTCTCTGTTGAGGTTGCAGAAGAGGAAGTCTCAAAAGTTGTAGTTTCAACAGGCGTAGTGGGAGTGGTACTTTCCTCACTTACTCTTTCAGTGGAACTGATTTCTAGAGTAGTCGAAATGGTTGGAGACGTTTCTACAGATATTGTGGCACCCTCAGTGCTACTGGAAGACTCTGTTGTCACAGGTGTTGTTGAACTCATCATTCCGGAAGTTTCAAATGTTGTACTTGTAAGTGGCGTTGTTGTTGTATCTTCAGATGTCGCCGTGCTTGTTTCCAAGCTTGGTACAGAGGATGAGGCGCTTGTACTTTCCTCACTAGCAGAAGTAGTTGAAAATGTGGAGAATTCCTCAGATGTTGTAGAATAACTAGCTGCTCCTGTGGTAGTTTGAGTCTCACTTGTACTCTCTGTTGAGGTTGCAGAAGAGGAAGTTTCAAAATTTGTAGTTTCAATAGGCGTAGTCGAGTGGTACTTTCCTCACTTACTCTTTCAGTTGAAGTGATTTCTAGAGTAGTCGAAATGGTTGGAGACGTTTCTACAGATATTGTGGTACCCTCAGTGCTACTGGAAGACTCTGCTGTCACAGGTGTTGTTGAACTCATCATTCCGGAAGTTTCAAATGTTGTACTTGTAAGTGGCGTTGTTGTTGTATCTTCAGATGTCACCGTGCTTGTTTCCAAGCTTGATACAGAGGATGAGGCACTTGTACTTTCCTCACTAGCAGAAGCAGTTGAAAATGTGGAGAATTCCTCAGATGTTGTAGAATAGGTACCTGCTCCTGTGGTAGTTTGAGTCTCACTTGTACTCTCTGTTGAGGTTGCAGAAGAGGAAGTTTCAAAAGTTGTAGTTTCAACAGGCGTAGTGGGAGTGGTACTTTCCTCACTTACTCTTTCAGTGGAACTGATTTCTAGAGTAGTCGAAATGGTTGGAGACGTTTCTACAGATATTGTGGAACCCTCAGTGCTACTGGAAGACTCTGTTGTCACAGGTGTTGTTGAACTC